TAAATCTCTTGTTTTGTACACACAGACAGCTCTTCACAAGACTTAATTAAAATTGGCGTTGCGTTGATTTCCCAAAATTGTTTGAAGACTTCAAACAATTTTGGGAAAAACTTTTCGTATTTTCCAAAATTGTTTGAAGTCTTGATGAACAGTAATAACCGATAGGTTTTACCGTGCATTAGATAGAGGTGGAGAGGTTAAGGCTATCGCACTTGACATTTCTAAAGCTTTTGATAAAGTTTGGCATGCTGGTCTTCTCCATAAGCTTTCTTCTTATGGTGTAGCTGGTAACGTCTTTAAGATTATTGAGTCCTTTCTTTCCAATCGTAGTATAAAAGTTGTCCTCGATGGACAACACTCTTCTTCACATCCTGTAACTTCAGGGGTTCCTCAAGGTTCAATCCTTGGCCCTATACTCTTTTTAATTTACATTAACGATCTTCCAGATATTCTCACATCTAAGGTGGCATTATTCGCTGACGACACTACCATTTACTCTTGTCATGATAAGAAGCCTACACTCTCTGATTGCTTGGAGGGGGTATCTGAGCTTGAAAAGGATCTCACTTCTGCTACAGCATGGGGCTCACAGTGGCTGGCGAACTTTAATTCAGATAAAACTCAATTTTATTCGGCCAATCGTTATCGTAATAATTTAGATCTTCCTATATTTATGAATGGTAATGTACTAGATGAGTCATCTACCATTCATCTTCTAGGATTAACTCTTACTTCTGATCTTTCTTTTAAACCGTATATCAAATCCATTGCAAAATTAGCATCTGCTAAGGTTGCATCTCTTTATCGAGCTCGACACTTTCTTACTCCAGATTCTATTCTCTATCTCTATAAATCTCAAATCCATCCCTGTATGGAATACTGTTGCCACATCTGGGGCGGATCTTCTAATGATGCTCTTTCTCTTTTAGACAAGGTGCAAAAACGAATTGTAAACATAGTTGGACCTGCTCTGGCAGCCAATCTCCAACCTTTGTCACATCGTCGTAATGTTGCTACTCTTTCTCTTTTCTACAAATACTATAATGGGCACTGCTCTAAAGAGCTAGCGTCCCTTGTGCCATCTACTAAAATTCATTCTCGTGTTACTCGCCATTCAATTAAGTCTCATCCTTTTTCTGTGACTGTTCCTAAGTGCTTCAAAAACTCTTATTCTTCTAGTTTTTTTCCTCGAACATCAGTTCTTTGGAATTCGCTTCCTTCATCTTGCTTTCCTGATTCATATAATTTGCAATCTTTTAAGTCATCAGTCAATCGTTATCTTGCTCTACAGATTTAGTCTTTTCTCTTCCAGTAACTTCCAACTCTTATAGTGGTTGCTTGCAGCCTTGTTGGAAGTGAAGATGTTAAAAAAAAAGAAAAAAAAAAAAAAACTGATTTCAATGCTTGTTTAGTCCGATACCCTAAACTTCAATTCAATACATTTAATATTTATATTTTTATATGTAAAAATTTAAAACGTTATCAGTTATTTTTCTAAATATGCACTTACCAAACATTCCTCCTTTCATAACAATAAACTCTTCAACATGATGCTCTACTATATGAACTTTTCAGAGAAGTATTTGAACCAAGATCTCTAAAACTTTGAGAAAATCTTTTAATATAATAAATCTTCCCTTCTGACACAATGTGTATTTGGATTTTATGTTTTCCCAAAATATTCATGAACAACATTGCTAAAGTCTTTCAAAGCTTTCATATATATTCCACCAATAATATTGTGCACATCCAGATAAGTTTGAAAGCAATCAAGTTTTTTTAGAAACTCATTGGAATTATTTCCTTTTAACCTGTGTTTGCCTTGATAAGGTACTCTGGCAAGATTTGCTGTAGATAGATAACTATTTACAAAATAAAACCCTTGATTAGTGTCCTCAAACAGGTTTTTTCAATTATTTTGAGAAATTTGTCTACTATTCCTAGCAAAATATGTAAGCCTGGTATATTAACAATTTCTAAGTTCTTCTTTGTTACATTTCCAGTCAATAAAGGAGGATTAACTATGTTACTAAAATTTTTAGCTTTTGCAATGTTTCCTCCAACAGCCATCCATTTATTATACCACTCACACAGAGAGGTTAGAAATATGACTCAGCTCTCAGCATATTCATCTCAGCCAAAAGTGTTCAATTTCATTTTTGCATCATGGGTTATTAAATTGTTGACTGTGGTTAATAAAACTTTTCCTTTAGTAACAAGTGAGGTTGATTGTATAATATGCATCAAGTTCCTTTGCTTAGCTGACTTTGTGCCAGGATGTTTAATATATTTTCCTATTTGTTAAAAACAACTTCTGCAAAAAACAAGATTTTAATTGTTTGTTGAAAAATTCAAATTATTGTGATTATGATCTATATCTGTGTTAGTTTTACATGATACCATTAATAAAAGAGTTATATCAGTACCATTTTTATACCCATTAACACAAATAAAACACTCACAATTCCCACTTAGAATAAGTAGTATTAAGACCTAAAGTAATAATAAATTATTTTTTTAATGCAAACACAATATTGTCTATAAGCAGAACAATAATAATGAAAAACATTTTTAATTGGCTTAATTTTTTATAAAACTTACCTTTGTACTTAGGTCAAGCGGTGAATAAAAATCTACTTGAATCTGTTTTCTCTAAACTCATTAGATTTTCTCTAAACTCACTAGATTTTCTCTAAACTCACTAGATTTTTTCGACAATTAGAACATAACATTTTAGGTAGACCAGGGTTTTCAACAGAGTAGTTTTCCCAAAAAAATCTCTTGATAAGATTTTTATAATTTTTACCCTGATTTGGTCCTGGTTTATTGCATTTGGTTTAAATGCATCTTAAATCATTACTTTTCTTCATTCAGCAAAAGCATTTTAAAAACTCGTTATGATCTTTAGCAAAGTATTTCTTTTCCTTTCTTGAGAAATAGTTACTATATTTTTAATTGGCTCTTAAATTTAAGTTAATATAAGTTTTTTACTTAATTAGTTAAATAATGTCGCTGTTATTGCTAGATGTGTTTATAAATATTGTTAAAGCCTTTTAAAGCAACAACTATAAGCCAATTGGAAACCAATAAATATTATAGCCAATCGCGATGCTGCAATTACAGAAAGTAAACAACTATAAAGGCTGACGGAAAAATATTATTTTAATACAAAAACATTGTTATTTATAAAACTTCTTACTAAGTTTTCTCAAAAAGCTACCAACAAATGATTTAAATTTTGATAGTTTCAAAATGTTCAAATGTACTACTTAAAAAACAAAACAAAAAATTTCATGGGACTTGTAAGTTTTTAGATCATCTTCAGGGATCCGTGATGAGTTGTTTTTGAGAATTTCAGTTGCATTTTGTTGTAGATTTTTCAGCTTGTGTTTTAATTTTGAGATTGTGTTAGGTTTAATATAAGTAGAGTATTAATCTATTAAATTTAAGTAGGTAATTAGATAAATAAATCCAAATAATTTAAGGAGATAAGTAAAGATTTTGATTTTTCTGTTTAGATAATGATAAAATAATAAAGAACCAAGTGAAATATTTACATATGTATTATATAATCAAGATATAACTAATTTTTCCCTTTAGTATTATTAACAGCTTTTTCAATTTTTATTCACTTACATTAACATAAGTTAATGTAAGTGAATAAAAATTGAAAAAGCTAGTTCTGTTTTGTAAAGTCTACATCATTTTCATAAAACTTTTTTGAAAATTCAAGAAAAAAGTTTAATAGTAAAATTTACTTTGTACAATTTTTTTATTTTGGATTTGAATTTAATTATTTTTATTATTTTAGTATCTTTTTTTTTGTGTAGAGATCACTGAAAATTTTTTAGATAGTAGTATATGTTAAACTTAGGTAATTATGGGCAAAATCAACAAACCAAGTATTTTCAAGGCTAGTATTTTGTTGCATTTTATAAAACCCATCAGACCTAAAAGCGATTTTGAGCTAAAGCTTCTAATCTTACAAATATTTAAAAAATTTAAGTGTTTTGTAATTAACTTAGACTTAATCAAACTTAATCGAAATTCATTATTTTAACATGCTCATCTGTTTTTTTAATGCGCTATTAAAGATATAGCTACTTAAATACAACATCTATATATCAATCCAATTAGCGTAAATTTAAAACTAGAAACATTCCGAACTAGAAATTTAAATATGATTAAATTAAACACAACATCTATATATCATTCTGATTAACGTATATTAGCGCAGAGCCAAATCTAAAATAATACATAAACATTAGGATTTCGTAGTATAAAATACACATTGGCCCTTTTTTTCGTACATCAATAATTGATTCATTTATTTACAATATTATATTTTGATTAAATTAAAAATAATCACTAAACATATTTTTATTTAAAAATTACTTTTTCTAACTTTACAATTTTAGTTTATAACAATAACTTTGTGAAAACTTTTTAAAAGAATTAGAACAAATCAAGTATAAATATTTAATTGTAAATGCTACGACATAAAAACTGTTAAGATCTACTTATTGTAAGTAGATTATTTTTGTAGTGTATATATATATTTGTATAACATTGTTACCCGTAATCATTAGTAGTAATTATTTTTAGATTATACAACTTTAACACTGTTATCGAATATTTATTGTTTTAAATATAGTAGCAATATCCTAAATTTTAGTGATCTAAGAACTAAAATGTTAAACTAATCTAAGAAACAAAATCTTTAAAAATGATCTAGATTCAAGATCACACAAATATGTTAGATCTAAAATCGCTAAATCAAAAAATTAGTTCTAAAAAGATCTAAAAATGAGCTTTAAAATCTTTGACCATCTTCAAAATAAAATCTTTTGACCATCTTTAAAATAAAATCCTTTGACCAACTTCAAAAAAAAATAAGTTAGAGATCAGTAAGAAACTATCTAATAATAAGATTTAACATTTTATCCAATAAGGAATTTTTAACATTTAAATCATTAAAATTTAGCTTGATATTTATATACCTTTAAAACAAGTGTATTAACAAGTTTGCCAACCAACATAGCGCTACTTTCATTACAACGAGGATCAAGAAGTTTACAAGTTGCAGTCACAATATATGACAAACCATTTTGGCCAGAACAATCTTGCCTCAAATATAAATAAATAATAATTAATCAGAATTAAAAATGATTATTTTTGAAATAATTAACTGAATGCTAATAATTACTTTAAATTAAATATTTTAAAATACTAAAAAAATCTTTAATTTTTTTTATTTTAAAAGTTTCTTAATTCAAATAAATTTACTTTTTTTTTTAAACATACGAGCTTTGCCATAATGCCTGAGCTTAAAAAATTACTTAACATAAATTTTTCTGAAATTATCTATGTTTTGCACAATGATTTTAAAAAAATATTGCATAATATCTATATTAAAAAAAAAAACAAAAAAAAAACACCTTTGTAAAACCATAACAATGTTGTATATATGTGTGTCATATATATATATATATATATATATATATATATATATATATATATATATATATATATATATATATATATATATATATATATATATATATATATATATATATATATATATATATATATATATATATATATATATATTTACTTTCCTTAAATAATAATAAAAAACAGTTATTAATATAATTATAACAACAATAACATAATTCAATAAACAAGTGCATTAGTTATAAGAATAGTATTTTATGTTAATGATAATGATTAAAAACCATGTTTATTTAGTGAAGGATGTATCAAAACTCATTTCAAAAATTTAAAATTACTTTATAAATAACTTTGCTTGATTTTGTAATATCTAATCCGTTGCAAAATTAGCATTTGCTAAAGTCGCTTCTCTTTATCGAGCTCGTCACTTTCTCACTCTGGATTCTATTCTCTATCTCTATAAATCTCAAATTAGGCCTTGTATGGAATACTGTTTCCATATCTGGGGTGGATCTTCTAATGATGCCCTTTCTCTTTTAAATAAGGTGCAAAAACGCATTGTAAACATAGAGGTTGAAGGTTGGCCTGCTCTTGCAGCCAACCTTCAACCTCTGTCACATCGTCGTAATGTTGCTTCTCTTTCTCTTTTCTACAAATACTATAATGGGCACTGCTCTAAAGAGCTAGCGTTTCTTGTGCCATCTACTAAAATTCATTCTTGTATTACTCATCATTCTATTAAGTCTCATCCTTTTTCTGTTACTGTTCCTAAGTGCTCCAAAAACTCTTACTCGTCTAGTTTTTTTCCTTGAACATCAGTTCTTTGGAATTTGCTTCCTTCATCTTGCTTTCCTGATTCATGTAATTTGCAATATTTTAAGTCATCTGTCAATCGTTATCTTGCTCTACAACCTATATCTTTTCTCTTCCAGTAACTTCCAACACTAATTAGTGGTTGCTTGCAGCCTTGTTGGAAGCAAAGATGTTAAAAAAAAAAAAAAATACACCTGTACTATTTAAAAATTAAACTAAATTTCAGACAATACAAAAGAGAATGGAAAAAAAGAAAAAAAAAAGAAAAAAGATTTTAGATGCTAATAAACAAAAAGCTTTTGTTTTTGTGAAAATGTGTGAAAAAACAAAAACATCTTAAAAAAAAAAAGAATTTTTTTTTTTAAATGCCTAATTTTAATTTTACTAAATGCACTTCAGATATCCCTAACAATTGAACAATTCCCTAATCACTTCCCTAACAATTGAATATAATAAAATTAGATTTTTAAATTACTTTTTAATACCTATTTGGTTTTATTTCTTAAAATAAATTGATTAATATTTTTATGTTTCTATTAGAATTTTAATTTATTTTGTTTTCATGTTTTCTTTTGGTGGTACGGTAAGTGTTTTTATTTAGTTATTTTTATTTTTGTTTGTTCAGTAAATCTATACTTTTTATATCATATCATCAAAAGAAATATTGGTGCTTTTCAAATTTGGGGTTGGTTGGGTTTTGGCTATTTGTAGTGAGTCCTTTTTTACTGCAGTATGGAATAGGCATAAGTCGCGGGGTAAAGCATAAGTGGTGATGACGTTTGTCTGACGGGATAAACTAGTTATAAATGCTGATCCTCATCGAAACGCCAGTAATAATAGACGCGACTCTGAGGAGATGTTTATTACTTATCACTACACTAATTATGTTTACACATTAGCATTAATATTTTTTTTCCATTATTAGTCCTTTCATTGTTGTTAGCATATTTTTAATTTGTTGAATGGTTTTTTGTTTTACAAATTGTTGAATGGTTATGTATTTCTTGTATATTTTAGTTCATATTGGTATTTATAAAACAATTTTTTTTATTTTTTATTTATATATATATATATATATTTTATTATTGTTTGTTTTTATTTTTTTTAATTTTTATTTTTATTATTTTTTTTTTTATTGTTATTATGGTTGAGTACTGTTTTGGTTGTATAGCTTGTCTTACTTATTTTTAAATATTCCTCTATTAATCTTTATTTTTGTCTTGACAACTGTCAAAA